TGTTGTCATAATAAACTTGAGATTACCCTAATCTTTGTAGAATTTTATTTATTGGTAATATACTAACTGGATGCAATACTGTAGTAAACTGGTGAGAATTCCATTCTGTATCACAAGTACTGTTTTGGAATAAAGTAAATTATTATTATTATTAAAAAAGGATAAACTGCCGCTTTGAGTCACTTCAATGTGTCTTTATAAATTAATCTTCTCGAGTTACGTTAGTTATATTGGCCACAAGAAAGCTCACAATTTCCAAACACACTCTGAAAATAACCCGACACGGTTAGCAAAAGGACAATGCAAGACGATTACTAATTCAGTTCTCGAGGACTTCGTGAACTGAAGCCACTCAGCTCCACCAGAGTAGTCTTTCAAGATCATTAACAAGGTGAGGCTAAATGGTACAAACGGATTCAGGTTTCGGCATTTGTGTATGTCGGGGAGGTGTTGCTGACTCGCCAAAACATCCCCGAACTCTGTATACAGGAAATATTTCTCCAGTCTCTTATTCTGCTATGGTCTTAGCCTCTTCACTAGTCGTTCTCTGAAAATGTTTATTTTGTTTTCAATGATTACTTTGCTTTCACCTTAATAGTTAATTCACCATTATCATTCTCACATGTTCCTTTTTTTTGTTTTACATTTTCACACCCTCTTCACAATTGTGAAATGGACACTAAGTCACCTTCTCTTTTATCATTCGATAACAACTTTAACCTTATTGAATTTCTTACTCTATCTTCCTTTGTGCCATTGAGTATTACGTAATTTACAACTTTCGAAGCCACTTCTGAGTAATGATATCAATTATATCACTCTAGTTGTATTGCTCAGTAATGGACTACTATACATTTTTGGTAAGTGTAAATACGACTGTACAGCTTCTGAAGACAATTTCGTCGATAAAGGAAGTTATCTTCTCTCATGGGTCTTTAATTTTCTTGATAACGAGGAAATTAAGGGGAAAAAACGTGAAACTGGAGCTGGACCATAAAGGAAATTAGTATAAATATTGCCACTCCCCTCTCCCTGTTTCTCTCACTCTCTGTTCTCCCACACTTTGCTCACTTTCTTCTTCCTTTTTCCCAGTTCACTTAATTTATACAGGATACAATAAGAGAAATGATTGGATTGCGAGAGGAAAACAGCTTTCCAACAGTGTGTAATCATTTTTGCTCTTTTGATCACTGTCTTTAATAATATCACTTCCCCTTGTTTTACCGCTCAATTCAAACTTCTGATTTAATTCCCTTTTTTCTACTTTACTTTCCCTCTGTCCCTCTCTCCCATAAATTCAGCCATCAGAATTATCATGAAGATATCTAATGATGTGATAAGATGTGTAGAAAAATGAAAGCGTATTTGATTACCTTAGAAAGAAGAGAACACGAAGTTCAGCAAAGATATTTTTTCGGCTATTCCATTCTCAAAAGCTGTACAATCGCATTTAAATACATAATTTTACATGGATACAGTTCTTGTTTGGTTACAGGATTTCATCATGAACTGACATTGGTTAGAGAACCATTGGAAAACCTGGAAGTACTGGACAGCCAGCTGTTTCGTATACCTAGTTTGGGACTCTTCAGCAATACGCGCCCAATATGCACCCATCAGGGTTCGAACCCAGGACCTTCTGGTTACAAGGCGAGCTCGTAGACGATTAGGCCCCTGGGACCCGACTCAATGGCCAGCCCATGAATTCTAACTTCTGCCAATTGACGATATAGCGCAACCACTAGCTAATGTCTTCGGCGAGTATTTGTCCTCACAGTCGACCTGCTGTACCCTACTGTTCACGACTTCCCACTGGAACTCCAGGTAACTACCTACCTGAATAGGTGAGTGATAATTATTTTCAACTACATATGGTTTTTACGAGAGGCTTAGAAACAAAATAACCATTTTACAATTATATTCTAATCCCATGTAATCTTGTTTTTAAGGCTCTGGTAATCGATATTCACACCTCCTAACTCCCATTTTAAGTTGAAAGTTATTATTTCAATTTTGTTTCCATACTCATTTTTACACACTTGTTATCCGTTCTTATCCTGTGTAATTTTGTTTCTAAGACTCTCGAAAACCATATCCAGTTGAAAATAATTACCACCTTTTATTCGCCGTCGTAATTATATGGAATCAAACAAGAATTGTATCCATGTAAAATTATGCATTTAAATGCGATTGTACAGTGGTTTTTGAAAATGAAATCGCCAAAAAGTTATTTGATTACCGACTGCTGTTTCTGGTTTAAAGAAAAGAGCTTAACTGTATACAAAGATTAATTCAGTGCAGATGCACAATAATTAGTTAACTGAGTTGCGCACACACACACACACACACAGTAGTAATCCAAGTAGTGGAAGCGATACATGAAATAAATGCAGGCTGCACAATTTCGAAAGGCATTTCAAATGATTTATAATATAATGTTACATTATTAGAAAGTTAGCAAATAATAGCTATTAAAGTAACACGGTGGTTGAAAATTGTTATGATTCTATACATTAGTGATTGATTCACATGAGCAGTCACACACCACTCGACTTCAACCAGAATATCGAAGTGATCCAATACATTAATGTAAGCGTTGAACTTGGACACTGTGGTAGATTGTAATTCCATATTGGATAAGCTTATTTTAAATATCACACAGCGATGATGATGCAGTATTATAGCAACTGGATAACAAGGTTTCGAGCCCTTTCTCTGTGTCTCTCAAAACTTCACTTTGTTGTTTGTCATCATTTTTCATATCTCCGATATAGGTGTTGCATCATTTCGATTACATGTGTGCGATGTGCGTCGGTGGCACAGTGGTTAGGACTCTCGCCGACTATGCACATAGTCCGAGGTTCGATTCCCTGCCGATGCACACTTGATATCTATGATTGGCCTGCAAAATTTGGGCTACCGATATCACATGCTGAAAATGTCATCGCTGGCGAGTATTTATCCTCACAGTCAACCTGCTATGACCCACTGGTCATGACTCCTTACTAGAACCCAGGTAACTACCTGAGCCAGTCACTAGTGAGCAACATATTGATGTTCAAGCGTTGGTTTGCAGGAGCATTAATTTTTAATACTCTCACCCCGTCACATCCTATTTCGTGATTACATGCAAGTGAATTCAGTGTAATGGCTGACTTTTTTCTAGGTTAGTTAACTTATCAGGACCAATTGTTCGAGGTCTAGATGTATTTTTATGTTCCAGCGATCTAGTTCACGCCAATCTTCTAGTTTGACCTATGTAATCTAATATACTGGACAACGTTTTCACTCATTTGCAGTCGAACTCATCATTAGTACATCTAGTTTGGCTCAACTTGGACATCTGACTAACTGACCGACTGACCGATTCAGCTGACATTTTGAACCACTGGTTGAAATCTATCAATCAGCTATGCCAGCAAAGTTGGCACTGAACTAAATGATATAACACTGAGATACACCTGACTCCAGTATTAACCATATAAAAGATCATTAGAAAAACTTATTGCTAGGACACACTTTTCGTACTGAGGGGTTTGAAGGTGTCGTTGGGATAATGAAAACGTTTCATTTATATTTCATATCCACACTATTGTGTTACGAAGAGGCACACTGTATCGACAAGATGTTCAATTCAAAAACGAGTGTCTTTTCATGAACGTAAGCGGAAGTGTGAAGAGGGAGTTTAAATAGATAGAGTGCCGTTTCCAACAGATAATACTGAATTACTTAATTCTTAAGTACTGATTTACAGGGATATCTGACTGATTTCAAGTGGGATTAAATGCTGACATCAGTGAGAGAGCCACTGAAAATCACGGAGTACTGGGCATCCATGTTGTCCAAGTCCCGTGACTCTCTTTTCCAGTAAGCACACACAGTTTGATCAGGGGTCGAACCCGAAACCTTCAGAGGCAATCTCGTGGGGTTCTAATAAAAGGTTGTTACCATTGGGGATATCCAAGTAGGGTATGAGGACAGGTATTCGCCGATAGCATTGGATGGCGGCGGTTCCATATATCTCACAACGACAGTGGTCAGAATTCTTAGGTAGGCTAATGGAATTCGTCCCAGTGGTTTAACAGTCAACGGAAGTCGCTTGTGACCCTTATGACGGAAAAATTGTTTGAAAAATTCCTCCTAGACTATCTAATCACAATACTTATACTAATTTGGATGCTTCAACTAAATTTGTAATTTATAAACGTTTTTCACCTAGATTAATTTTTCTTCGTCCTTGTTAAGTCTCTAATATTGGTGTATTTGTGTGTACACTGATATTGTGTTGTACAGTGCGATTTCTTTTGAGTTAATGAAGGTCATTCTAACCCTGGACTGTTCCTAAAAAGCGTTAGTATGTGATTCTTAGGGAAAAAGTTTTGATTCCAACCTTTTAGGAGTATTCTGCATGGTGCTAAGTGCTTGTTTTGTAATTATACTGGGCTTTATAGCTAAAATTTTGAGTTTTTAATATTAGTATTGTTTAACGGAACCGAAAAATTACTCAGGAATGATCGTCTCTTTACTATCTTTGGGTCGTTTTGTAACTGTGCACGTCTCAAGGGAGTTTCGCTAGCTATAAAGTAGAACGCAGAGATCTCTTGTCCTGTGTTCATACCACAACGAGTCGATTTTGGTCACTACAACCTTCGGGTCTTGGATACGCTTTTCTGGAGAGTTCCAAGGTTGGACGAAACAACTGTCTAGAATTCCCTGGTTTTCAGTGGCTCTCTAGCAGTAAACTGTCCTATCTAGTGCTATTCAAACAATTATTGGATGACTGGAGATGTCCATAAGTAAGAAGGCCAACAAAATATAAAACTGCGTATACAAGAGTGAAACATTTAGCTTGGTGACAACACTATGAATTTTGGCTGATAATTTCCACTAACAGCTGTGTGCCCAAAAATCATTAATAGGAACTTAGAAATGAAACCAACAGCTAAGCAAAAGCTCAAAAAATTCCGCACAAACTGACATTATATTAATGACAGACTCACCACGAAATCTGAACAGTCCTTATTCATGGAGCTGCTAAAATCATTTGATGCACAGAATTCATTGCTTGACAGCTCTTTCACTGATAAAGATGAACATGTCTGAGATTCTTGTGCTGATAAACCGACCGACTCACTCTCCATCTTGGCGTTCCCATCTAATATCGTTGTTGTTGTTGTCGTCGTCAGCATCGTAGAGTCTGAAGCCGTTGGCATTCCAGAATTTACAGTTGATTTGTTATTCTTAGCTGGTTCACAAGAATCACCACTTTCTTGTGCAATTAACAACACGACCTTTGATTTACTTTGTTGAAACAAGTCAATAACATGTTCCCTTGACTTGATTACCTGACCGTTGATTCGTAATATTTGATCACCACTTGAAATCTGTCCACTTTGAGAAGCTAAACTATCGAATTCCAGCTGAAGTTCAAATACAGTTAAAGCATATTGTTTAGTTTGAAAGGTTAATCTGTAGTCAGTAGGTAATATTTTCAAACGACAATAATTAGCGCATAATTTGAACGTTTTATTATGCACGATCACTCACTAATATATGTGAAAAAGCAAAGTAAATTAAAGCAAAACAAATAACTGAGTTGTTCCGATCAATCAAGTGTTCTTTCGATTGGACATTAACTACTGTTATGTCTATAGTCCTTGTTTAATGCAGACTGAATTCTATCAGTCAAGTTTGCAGCAACAGGGGGATACGGGTCTGAATCTCAGAACTTGAACTTTGACCCACACACACAAAGGGTCAAAGTTCAAGTCACAGAAGCAATCAGTTCCAACACAAGTAACCTAGAAGGTGTGAAAACACACATAAACAACCAATCACGTTCAAGCTCACCAGGAGGAATGATTAATAAACTCGTGGAGAAACCGAAAAGCTCACTTCAAACTGAAGTATGCGCTGAAGATGTCACCCAGTAGGGCGATGAAAGCTTCGCAAACTAACCATCCAGCTCAGAGAACAAAACCACATCAAAATAATCCACCTGAGCTACATATCTTCTCTATCATATCTAAGTCCTTTTTTATTTCCTGCGTTCCAAATAGAACATAAAACCTTAAGCTTTTAGAGTTTTAAGTGCCGTGGTATTATTTTCACAAGAAGAGGTAGCTAGTCTCACGCCCCATTCTCCCCTCTTCATCGGGTTTGCAACCAGCTGGGAAAGGTTTAAGAGTGCGTCAGCTGAAAAGTGAATGGTCGGCGAGCATTCTACCGACGGACCGTCAATAAACCTTTGAGTATTTAATGACTACTAAGCGGAAGTATTCTGGTACTTGTATTTTATTGAAATTATCGCTGGTATTATTGTCAGAAGTAGTTGTTTTACTATCTTACTAGAGGAAACATCAAGACAAAAGTAGTGTTAAACGCGGAATAAAGCTTCGAGGCAAAAATACTGATGTGTTATATCATTAAACGTACGTAGAAGGCTTTTTTTTCATCATTATTGTCATGGTTATTCTGAATCAACAAAACGTGGGGTATCTCTTTCTTTTCAGTCCTTTTGATTTTTGTTGGAAAAATTTCTGAAATGTACCCAATGGTAGGTGATCAGAATGGTGTTTCTTCCTGGTTGACCATATGCACTATTTTCACTGGTACCGCTAATAATACTATCACCCACGTAATAATATATTCCCTACCAGTTGTTGGAAATAAGTACAGTATAATAATGTTGAATTTCAATTTACATGCTTTTTGTATTTTTTTAAAGGTATAACTGTTGAAACCTCTTGAATTCTGCGTGAAACTTGTGTGTTAATCAACATTGCTTGTTTTACCGCCTAATTTCCTTTACAATCGTGAGCATAAAGCGCTTAACATTAGTGTTATGTAACACACTTTTAAAATGAACACAGATAGAGGTAATAGAGGAATTATAATCTCTGAAGTAGGTTTAGTGCAGCTGAAAGTAGCCAGCTGAATGGTGTGTACGAGAAGCATATGCACACTCACACAAAGTGTCATTTTGAAAAAGAAAAGTACGAAATAGCGAGCACTAAACATAATCGCCTACATTATAGCACTTCAAAATGGAGACGTCAGCTGTATGCTGAGAAGAGTTCAAGTACACAACCTAATTCATCAGAACAAATCAGATGGAGAACATTTTAGATTATTTACAAGTTAGATAATTCATGAACGAGGTTAGGAGTGGACGCTTTTTTATGGTAAAATGGATAGGTTAGATATAGTTCTCACTTGGTGGGTGTGTTAGCATGTCGTGAATATTGTGTTTTAGACACAATAATGAAAACGCCCGTGGTAATTAAGACCAAAACTGGGTATTATTGAATACGCTTGTTAGTAGTTACGTGGTTCTTTGAGAATGGTCATTCTGCCTGGATATTCTCGTACATTTTGACATCAACAATAAGATCTTCCGTTATTATTACTATTGTCCCCTTTGGTTCGCAGAGGAACATAGGGCTTCAGCTACACGTCAACGTTTTCACGTTACTCCACGTCTGGCCATATGCTTTCATCTCCTCTTGCATGACCTCTTCCATATCACCCTCGCACTAACGACCAACTCGACAGTTCCCATTGGGGTTCCATTAGAGAGCTTGGCTTGTGATGTCACTTGATGATTCTCCTGTTATTGTACCATATTCGAAGTACGCCTAACTTTTATATTCCTTAGCATTTCAAGGAGAACATACAGGTTCAAGCTTGACATTTCAATGTCCAGTAGCGATGGTGCTGTTTTTACGGAATGGGGTCGGTAAACTCACTCTCAACCTCCACTCTCTCCCAGACTTACTACTGGATATCTGATTTTTGGCGGGAAATCGAATTCGGACCACGTTCGCTGTCGATAAGCATCCTACCACTAAACCACTAACGTTCATATCTGGTTTACTAGGCGTATATTTAAACATCTGTTAACGAACTAATTAACTAACTATTACTGAGCCCAAGGGATACAGTCGATCAATAAATTGTATTTAATCAAATCAGAAATGTTGTACAAACTACAAGTTAGTTACAGTTGAATAAAGAAAATTGTGATTTGAAAAACAGCTGGATTGCTGACATTATATACAGTAAGTGTGTTTCTGAAAATAAAGGTCACAGCAATAAAAGCTTCTGAATAAATATCATCGCAGAAATTAACATATTTCGGCATATTTACTACTAACCAAGAGGTATATATGTAAATGACTAAGCATTTTAGTCAGTCCGTTGGAATTCACTGTCTGGTGTCTAGACAAATTCTATCTGACTGTCTGGCAAACACTACTGCCGCATGTGAACGGCATCTAACTACTCATATCAGTAGTATGTAGTGCCATGTATTCATAATTGCTTTCTTAATTACCACTTATAATATCAAGCAGGTCATATATTTTTTGATCGTAACAATTTCGTTTTCTGGGAAAAACGTTGGTGAAATTCCACCTCGTTGAACTGTGTAAATTGCAAATCGGGAATTAATTTGCTAATTGCGAATTCGACCCAAACTCGGGCTCTGTTTGAGTTTCTTGTCAGTGATTGTTTATCAGAAACGTTCGGGCCATAGTTTACTGTATAAAAAAGTATTGATTGTTGGATATATTGGAATCTATCATCCAGGGGGTAATCAGTGTATGCTTTAGTTACCTTTGTAGACTTCACTCTACCTGCTTATCACTGAGATGCAACTTTTCTTCTGTGTTTATAACTAGCATTACGTTTCCGTTTATGAATGTGAAACGTATACATCAATTGTCTTATCTTTCGTAGGCGATCGTATATTTGATGTTTAACTTCTCGCATGTCAAAACTCAGAAAACACTAGGCAGTGAATGTCAACCAGTTGGACCTTAGATCATCTTCATTGACAAAACATGAAGGATGACGGCTCAGCTATACCGATACTGACCGTATATTCAACGATAGATTTAAATAGTATTAGAAAGAAGAATCGCATCATCGTAGTATGGTTGCCTGCTGCATGAAATTAATGCTTACTCGCTTCTTATCTAATCTGAACACTTATATTTCCATTGACGTTTCACCACGGATTGACATCAGTTAAAGAACCATTGTAAAACCAGCATGGTATAGTGGACAGCTGTTTCATTCTAGTGTGCGTGCGACTCCTCATCAGCATGCACGCAGTGGGTTTCTAACCGTGGATCTTCCTGTTACAAGGCAAGCTTGTATACAATTCAGCCACTGGGAACCGGTTCAACGGTTCAAGGGTTCTAAGTTCTACCGACTCGTGATTTTAGCACGACCACCAGCCAATGTCATCGGCGGGAACTCACTCACTTGTAACCCAGTGGATGTGTATTGCCAGGCTAGGATAAAACAGCTGTCCAGTAATCTTCAGTTTTTAATTGTTATAAAACTGGTTACAGGATTTCATTGTGAGCTGACACTGTAAAGAGGACCACTGAAAAACCTGGGAGTACCGGAAAGCTGTTTCGTCAGCCTAGTTTGGGACTACTCAGCAGTATGCACCCACCCCACCAGGGTTCGAACCCACGACCTTCTGGTTACAAGGCTAGCGAGCTCGTAGACCATTCAGCTACTGGGACCCGATAACTGATGCCAATCCGTGGTCTAACCTGAAACAAATAGAATCCCAACAAAAACTGATTCCTGAGAACTTATGTTTCCACAGAAAATACAGCGAATATTTCGATAAACAATAGTGGAAATCTGTCTGAACGGAAACACTGTTTCAAGTGTGATTTCTCACACATTTGGCAGTGTACTGTTATTATGTGGCCTATAGATTAGTCCTTATACACCTACATTTCCCGTTGTGATAAACTATTTAGGATTTACAAGAAATGCTAAATAACAGATGTGTTTGTGGCAAGAACTATTCATTTCGACCGATTACTGATAACAGTATGAAGTTATGTAGAAAACTACAACAAACCTTATGATCATGTACAACTTTAATGTCGTATTGTAACATCCTGGCTAGTTGTTGTTATCGCCTTGGGATCCTCCTACTGGAATCTGCAGCTTCAGTGGCACATCACCGTTTCATCACTATGTTCTCTGAAGTCTTTTCAGCTGGCTTACTGATTACACACAGACTTTCATTTCCTTCCTCCAAAATATCCTGAATAACGCCATCGCATGTACACACAACTGGTCACCTTCCATTCGGGTCACACTGGAGGGTATTTCTGGCATGACCTTCTCAGTGTGTATGTCTTTAGTTTTATTCTGCGTATCTATTGTTTGAACAACAGGCTCTTATCACAATTAATGAATTATTCGCGCAGATATTATCAATAAAACTGAATGGCGAACATCAAAGTTTCTAAAGCAATCGATTCTTAAAACCGTAAAATCTCACTTAATCAGTACAACACCATCTTCATATTAATAACTGGTTATGACAGAACAATACTCAGGATCGATAAATTCTCAAAATAGTTTTTCAACTTGTTCGTGTATACGGGTCTCGAGGGATCATCATTTCATACTTTGCCTTCGATTTAGGTATTGTCATTCACAATCGAAGTCTGACTTGATGCTCTACAAGGGGTATTATCTTTGCCACTTCTATGCCAATACGGTGATGCATTCAACAACAGCTGCATACTATGCATTTTCAGTTGACTCACAGATTAATTCTTTCAGTTTAACAGTACAGAAATTGGGAGAAAGTTTCACTTTTACATTGACAACTCCACTTCCCCCCTCCCAGTATAAACAAAATAAACAATCTGAGAAATAAGGTCAATAATTAATGAGACAAAAAAAAATCACTTACATCACCAACAAAAACATCACAGCTTGCATCACATGTATCACCTTGACGATAGCAAAGAGTTAAGCCAAATTTTTCATCCATCGTTTTACGGCATAATGTCACTTCCTGTTAATAAAGATTCAATAAATGGGTAAATGGGTAGAAAGGACGGAAGAAAACATCTGAAAGTACATTTCAGTGCTAAATGATGATTACTCAAGGTAACAAAAGGTATTTTATGAATAATTTGTAGAATCACTTAAACCAAGGAGCCCTTCCAAAAATATGAACTTCTCAGCAGTGTATACACATTACCACCATGGATTGAACCCATGACGTTTAAGTCTCATGTCAAGCATTTTTACACTCCATCCATTGGGTTGGAGTTCACAGTGATTCATGAATCCTAACTACTGTTAGCTTGTAGAGCTAATTACATTGAGCATAGTATTAGGCATGTTTATTAACCCATTATCTGAACATCATCCTGAGTTGTTATAAGCAAGAGACAACCAAGGTCTATTCGTAGCTTTGCTTTAGCTAATCTTGTGGATATTCACAGAGTTGATATTAACGAATCCTTATTTTAATTAATGAATTCGCCGTCTACATATAACTGAAGCCATCAGAGTCTACTTGAAGAAGCCGAACTCTTTGTGTTCAGAAAAAATTAGTACAGCCACTTTTCTTACCTTGACTTTCATTATTTGATTGTGGGAGTTTGCCAATTTCCTCTTCTCTCAAATCCATTAACATGTTATCATTATTTAACCTATCTTACTACTCAATATAAGGCGGCCTGCTTAAATCACTGGGCTACCGAAATTAGTTTCCTCCAAAATGCTTGATTTCATCTGGATTTATCATTGTTTTAGCCGTCCAACTATATCAAATGACCTATACATAAACTTGCGCGATGATATAACTTGCTCCCAAGTAAACGCTGTACAATTCTTCAACGAAATGAAGATATACTTCAGATTATTAATTTACATGTGAATCTTGTGTGAAGAAAAAAGTACTTTAGAGATGAATACGCTGAAATTTTTTGTACCGTATATTCGCATACTGTCTTAAATAAAGCTTTACCATTATTATTATTTACTTTTTAATTGTTGCAGTAATTTTATTACGTATATTATCACCTAGGTGGATCGGTGGCACAGTGGTAGAAAGCTGGCCAACCACGTATTCGGCCCGGGGTTCGATCCTTTATCTCGAAAAGCTAGGAATAAGACTGGTAAAGAGGAAGTGTTGGGCATGAGACTAACACCCCATCCCATAAAAATAGATACCACTGCTACCGAAAGTCCAAACTTGTGGCTTGAAGCCCTATGTTCCAATGGGAACGTAATGGAATAAAAAAGGTGTTGTCACTTAAACAAACATTTGAACTGTTATTCTAATGATCCTAACAATTTGATATTATTTAGAAGAACGCACCACTGTAGTCAATATAATTTTTTTCCTTCACGTTCCCAGTGGAACATAGGGCCTCAAGCTAGTGGCTTGAATTTTCTGTAGCAGTGTTTAATTTTACAGGATGGGGTTGCTAGCCTCATGCTTAACCTCTTCTCTTTATAAGAATTATTTCTGGCTTAGCGAGGTAAAGGAGTTCCTCGTCGGCCGGGGATCGAACCCCGGACCGTGTGCATGGCCGGTGAGCGTCCTAACCGCTGTGCCAACGACGCACAGTCAATATCATTTGCTCTTTAATTATTATGTGTACATATAACTGTAGATCCTGATCAATTAGAAGTTATCGAAAGAGAAATTCTTTGCTCAACATTTTCAAATATCTTATATATGTCGAAATGAGAATTTTCACAATAATAAAAATACAACTGGCTAATTGTTATGGTTGAAGTAAACATATCAGCCGCACATACAGTATATTAACCAAATCAACTAACATAAAACTCTAGCGTACATGAGTTTCAAGGCAGTTATGAGTTTTAAGTTTGATCACGGATTGATATCAGTTACAGAACTATTGTCTGGTGCTGACGCTAAACATCGTGAATTGATAGAAGTTACAATTCATGAACCGAGTACTGGGTTCCTTTCGAGTATTTGAATCGTCAGCGAGCTCACCTCGTACCTTGAAGACCCTAAGGTTCTATAGCTAGAAGTTGGATAGCGGGTGCGTACTGCTGAAGAGTTCCAAACTGGAGTGAAACAGCCGCTTAGTACTCCTTAGTGATTTTTATTAGTTCCCTAACTAATATCAATCAGAGAGCAAACTTGAAACCAATCAAGTCCCTACAAACGAACACTTGGAAACTATGAGTTACAAAAACACCCATCTTTAAAATTCAGTAAACAAACGTCTTCCCAATAACTATCTATCTAACTAACTAACTAACTAACTAACTAACTAACTAACTAACTAACTAACTAACTAACTAACTAACTAACTAACTAACTAACTAACTAACTAACTAACTAACTAACTAACTAACTAACTAACTAACTAACTAACTAACTAACTAACTAACTAACTAACTAACTAACTAACTAACTAACTAACTAACTAACTAACTAACTAACTAACTAACTAACTAACTAACTAACTAACTAACTAACTAACTAACTAACTAACTAACTAACTAACTAACTAACTAACTAACTAACTAACTAACTAACTAACTAACTAACTAACTAACTAACTAACAATTTAACATCTAGGCACTAGTTTTTATTTCCAATTAATATTAAAAATCAAATGGAGGACAGTTTATAAACAATAAATTAGCATAGTTTTGCTAAACAGAAAGGGCTGTTTCAATGAAGTTTTAGGCAGACATCATTAGAATAAGATAAATAAACGTGGTTCTAGGATGCCATGTCAGTCATAAATGCACCAAGCACCAAAGTGTATAATATATATATATATATATATATATATATATGTATACTCTTAAATCATCAAAAATATTCCCGCTCACTTTGAAAAAGTAAATTCACACACACACAACACACACTAGATTTTAAGATCAAAGTAAAATAAAATGTATATTTAACAACAACCAAAAAATTAAAAATAAACTAATACCTGTTTGTTTGCATAAATTACCTCCGAATATAAAAAAGAAAGCAAAAACAAAATGTAGCGGTCGCGCGCACACACACACATCATCATCATCACCATCATTATTATTATGGTTATTCCTTTTCATCATTTTGTGTTTTGATTGAAAAAGGCGCCATAGATTTTCAGCGCACAAATTTTTTATTGCACACAATAAAATAAAGAAATCTGATGAGATATCCTGTTCAATTATTGTTATTATTATTATTACCATTATTAGTTTTTATTTAGTATACTGAATCATTCAATTCAATTTGTACCCTAGAAATGCTCTTTTTTCATTGATTTCGTAATATGGTGTAGCGTTGAAACTTGCACTAAAATCAGTAAATATGCATGAATGTGCATTAGGGTCAGGTAGACAGAGTGTGATTCATCGGCATTCAAAAAATAAATAAATAAACGGGAAAATTAATTTTTTTTACACATCATTGAGGTTAACAGTTTGGGATGTTTCATCGCTAGCTAGTGAATGTATGGTTGAATCACGGAGAATAGTAGTAGTTGTTGTTGTTATAGTAGTGTAATTTATGTGGGTTTTATTATTCATCATGCATGCATAGAAGTAAGAATTTGTGCGAAAGTAGAGAAATGCATAGGTAAGTGGAGTAATCGAAATGTGTTTCTAATGAAGATTAATATAATACGTTCAAGTATATTCCTAATCCACACGAGGAAAAACACTTCGGCTATTCTCGTGTGGTAGAGTCCTTTCCAACAATGCAAAAGACCTAGGTTTGATTCCTGGCTGACTCAGTCTTTAATCTCGCCTGGCTTACTTGCCAGTGTTAAGCTCAGAGAAGAGGGAAAGTTTTGCTCTGATGCTAGAGACATTACCCAGTATAAATATCACTGTGCCTACAGAAAATTTGAAGCTTTATTTCGTATATTTCACTCAGAACACAAAGGATGGGCAAAAACGTTTCACATTAAAGTATGACAGATATACATATGACAACATAATCTCACTTCAAAGCTGTACAATTATATAGTCATGGAAGTGCCTATAAAAGGCAGCCATTAATATCACATTGGTAATAAAGACATATGGAAAAATAATGAGTAAATTACAGAAGCAGGTTAATTAGTCTTGAATAATGTCAAAGCATCGGGCACACACTGAGGAGGCCATCGAATAACATCGCGCGCAATGCAGGCCATTGCTCGAGTGGAATCCCAGTGGGAAGCGATGAGTGCGTCGTCAGTGTGAGGGTAACATGAAGGAGGTCATTTGAGGAGGAGGAGGAGGAAGAGATGAGAGCTTTTGGGCAATCGTGGTTCAAGCTGAAGTGGACGGCAGAAAACAGAACAAAGTGAAGATGTTTTGTTGAAGCCGTATGTTCCACTCGGAACTCAAGGGGAATAATTATAATAATAATCTAAAAGCATTAGGTGATGAATATCGCTCAGCGGTTGTAAACAGGAATATTGCCCATCAGAATAAAAGATTTCAGAATGTGTATAAAGTATATTCTAAAGTTTGGAGTTTGAATGGAAAGGAAAAAAAGAGGACATTCACTAAAATTGTAGAAGAACACCTCCGAATAGGGTTGTTAAATAGAGAAATTAGACAGTTTGATAGATCGATTCTTGAGCACGTTGTTCTTAAAAATCATTCCTTATCAAAAGAAAAGTTCATCAAAGTGATATTTAATGTAAAACTAAACTGTTCGAAGGATTTCTAATCTCGTCACAGAAGAAGCTCTAGCTGAAGTGTGTACATAAAACTGATTTGTTCTAATCCCTTTTATACTACTATCACGGTCTCATTCATTTTTTCCTAGCTGCTAACATTGAAATATACTTTATGCCTATTCATGTGAACAATATTCCTGTTTTTAAGCATTTGTATTTTTTATGCTAATCACTTCTAAGCTGTGTTTATCACTAAGTGTTTTCAGATAATGTAAATCGACTTGACTAACTAAGTCTTCTAAATTATTCATTATTTTCCCTGAATTTGTAATTCCATATGTTATGTTACCAGTGTGACTTAACGACTGACCCATTTTAGGCATTTCTATTACCTTTTGGAGCACCATATAACCTTCCATATTAGTATCCTAGACAGTGGTCTCTTGTCCTTGAATCTATTTCTGTTGTTGTACAATTTTGCTGACTGAACCGTCAGAGTAGCGTCTTTGTACAGCTGCTAAATGGACTATGATAATTATTGAATAAAAAGAGTTGGATCCTACTCATATCGACCAGTAGCGCTTGCTAGAGAGACAGATTGAAGTGATTTAAGCATCAGACAGCTGTTTCACTAATTTTTGGCCGAGCTCGTTAGCAGTATACCCGGTTTGACTCAGCTCAGAGAGTTGAACAGTTCGTACCACCTGAATTCTGGCTAGCTAGTTGAGTTGACTGGAAACAAACTGGACGAAATTCTCAAATTAAATCGTACACACATCCAGATGACGAGTCCCAAATAGGACGAAATGCTCATCCTGGATTCCACTCCTAGTCATCATCCACAGATTAAATTTAATTTGTACACAGTTTGAGATAAAATCTCACCTAAGCTACTTTTGGCAAATGAAATTATTCACATCACGATGTACGATACCCATAAATGGTATTGAAGAAAGCGAGGATAAATGAATAAAGCCCTTAACTACTGGATGACTGATGTGACTAGTCGGATGCCACTGGCGCCAGCCAGTGTTGCTTGCTAGCCATGCTGTTACACTTGCTTGCTTGACAGTCATTTATGGCTTAATAGAATACCACTGATCACTTAAGTAGTCTTGTTTCGATTTCATGGTGACGTGGTCCTAAATCAAACCCAGTTCATCGGCTGGTGGTCAACCCGATCAAATCAAAACACTAAGTATCACCATTGAACACAGCTTGGAATAACAGTCAGCTTTCTATTTCAACTTTATTGACTTTGAAAAGGTCTTCTACAGGGTCGATCGAGAGGTGATTCGGAAACTACCTCGCTACTGCCGAGTGCCACCAACAATTATACATCTCATTCAACAGTTGTACGACAAGGCTGCATGTCAGGTAATCCACAACGAGAAACTCAGTGTCTTTCGAAGTTAGGATGGAAGTAAAACAAGTTTGCGCACTATTTCCAATGATTTTCCTGGTTGTGGTCAGTCAGTTAGTGGGCGACGAGGAGACAGGTATAAAATGGACACAAACAAAAAACTTGGAGGATCTGAACTTCGCCGATGATATATGTCTGATTTTTCACAAACAAGCAGATATACAAGTGAAAGGCAACAAGTTAGCTGAAGAAGCATCAAGGATAGGTCTTCAGGTGAACATAGAGAAAACACAGGCCATGAAGATTCCTGGCCAACACCAACAGCAACAACAACAGACAGCAATCAGCTAGCATAAATGGGAGAAATCAGAAGGAAGAAACCTTCTTTACCTATCCACCTACTTGGGAATCATCGTTTCAACTGCAATTGGGCGGAACTGATGAGGATATCAAGGCGAGGATCGAGAAAGCAAGTCCAGCTTTCATTACTCTCAAGTTTGTCTGGAGACCAACAGCACTACTCAGCACTTAGCATGAAAATGAAAAATAAGATCTAGATTTTGTACTCCAATGTGAAGTCATTGCTACTATACAGATCAGAGGAATGGTGCGCCACGAAGGACACGTCGAACAAACTACACACTTTCATCAACAGCTATCTTCGCTCAAGTCTACTCAAGATCAGATGGCTGGCCAGAAAAGATCGGCCATGGGGGTCTCTGGGAGCAAACCAATCCGTCAGGTACCAGTTGTGCAACAAATATTCAGAAAGAAATGGAGGTGGGTTGGCCATACTTTGAGAAAACCGTCAAGTGAGCGACATCACAAGCCAGACTATCTTTCGAGTGGTACCCGAATGGGAAGCGGTGAGTTGGTCATGCAGTGATGACACGGAGGAGGTCATGTGGGCCTACGTGGAACCAGGTGAAGACGTTGACAGAGAACCAAACGCAGCTGAAGCCTCATGTTCCTCTGTGAACTTAAGGAAACAATAATAATAATAACTCCGAAGGAAAGGGCAGGTTATTCATGAGGCTATCAACCCAGGAAAAGTAAAAACAGATGCTAGTGAAACTTTTAGACTGAAAGCTTGAAGCCTGGCATTCCACCTTGAAAGCAAATGGATGAGAAAAGACAACATTGAAGCATTTGCTAAAGTAATCCTGAATACTGAAGGTTGGTTGCTAACTGGTAAAAAGTTTTCTACTTTACACTGTCCCTAACAGTCATATCGTACTTGCCTTAAACCTTGTCACTGAATATAGGTAATGTGAATTATAAATTTGACTAATGTTCATTTGGGTCTGGTTTCTGAACTAGAAGCGATTTATTCCATGTTCTTAAATTCTTCACACCATTTCAACACTGATAAAAAGAAATACATAGTATTTGTTCACTCACCTTTATCCGTATATTTCCACGTTGACTAGAAGACAATGACTCCCAAATGTTTCCATCGTTTGTACCGTCTGTTTTCATATCTGAGATAGTGTCATACTCTGGATCATCGTTTGAATAGAAGCATACACAATTTTTTGATCTATAATCACGGTTATTATTAGGTGGAGGAATAATATCTTCTTTGGTGGATTTACTATCGCCACTATTATTATTATTATTACTATTATTATCCTTTTTCTGTATAAGTTCAAGATCTTCTCCAGTCTGTTCATTGACTGCATCCAACTCCTCCTCTCCCTCCACATCATCATCATCATCATCGTCGGAATCGTCATCATCTTCCTCAACTATATCCACAAGATCCGGGAAGTCGGAGTGATAAATGCATTCTAAACTGTTAAATTGAAGTCAAAGGGAGAGAGAGAGAATGATAATAAACACAAGATATAACGAATATTCTATTTCATTGTTTAACATAAATTTAATTATAACTATATTCAGTTGAATTACTCAATCATATTTGATGCGTATTCAAAAGTAGATTAATGCCTGTGGATATAGGCAATTACAAAGTGTAATGTGGCCACATTCTAGGTAGCTTGTCATCACTTTGCACGTCAATTGGATGATATTAGATGGCTGGAGGTAATCGGCAGACAGGAAGCCTTGGACCTAGGTTTCGTGCTAGTTGGCACTCACCAGTCAGCAAGGCGTATCTGCAACCTTGAAGGAACTCATGTCCCTTCTGAGATTCGAAACTGTGTCACCCAGTGCTGCAGTCAGAGACGTTACCACTGAGGTATTCTGGCTCGTCACTGACCTCCTGTAGGACTGTAGTGGGTATTTTGATTTGACACTAGTAACTAGTGTGATGTGTCTAGTCCTCTTTATGGTGGAGACTGAATTGTATCAGTTCGGTTGCAATGTAGCCATCATTCTAGGTAGCTCACCATCACGGTGCACATTGATTTGATGATATTAGATGGTTGGAGGCAATGTTTTGGTGCACAGTATGAGAAACGAAATAGCAGATATTAAAGCTGAATAAAAAACTTCGATAAAACATCTTTAAAACAACCAAACGGAACATATGTTAATCATTAAAAATCTGATGCAAAAGTACACACTGATTACAGTGTTCAACAAAAGTAGGCCAATATTTGTAAGTCTGAGGTCAAATTTTGATCAAAGTTCATCTAGTTTTTTTTAATTGCATTTGATGCCTGTTTCATGACTCATATCATTGTAGAAAGCTTTTTAAAAACAAGAGATATCCTTTTGATGTATACACCTTTTTCAGCTATTGGTTTGAAGGGATTTTGTTTGATCGGTTGGAAGATTTCATCATGAGCTGACATCGGTTAGATAACCATGGGAAGAAGACATTACTAAGTGGTCGCGCTATGTCTAGGATTGATAGAAATAAGAATTCATAGGCTGGATAAAGTCCCAGTGGCTTAATGGTCTACTTGCTCGCTGGCCTTGTAATCAGGAGGTCCTTGGTTCGAACCCCTCCCTGTGAGTGTGTACTGATGAACAGTCCGGAAGTAGGTGGACGAAACAGCTGTCCAATTCTCCTTGCAGGTTTTCCTATGGCTCTCTAACTGATATCAACTTGTGATGAAATCCTCCAATCAATATAGACCTTTGTCACTTTAATTTAGAATAATTTCTCTGAAGGGAAGTTCCACTCAGTTTGCCGAAAGAAACGTTCGCCAAGATTTTACAAATATAACTTTTTACAAATGTCTCCTTCTCACTTGACACCCAGTTATTGTGGAACTATTCGATCATATCCTGATCACATTTCACATGAATTATCCTGTTCTTATGTCTACTTATTTCCATCCAAAGACATGATTATCAAACTGACCTGACTGTATCTTTATATCTGACCATATAATTGCACAAAGCTTTGACGACTAATCTCTCTTCTAGCCTACTGATGAATTATGTTAGTGTTTGAAACTATTGGCACTGAGTTCGAGCCTCATTGGTGGGAACATCATCATTCACTGAGAAATGCAGGTACATCCAGCTGGCGGACGAGTCCCAAATAGGACGAAATACACTTTATCCTGGATTCCATTGATAGTCACTATCTACCAATTAAATTCAATAAGATAGTTTGGTCATTTACGTCATTCTGAGCTGTTGGGAAAAAAACCCACTTCCAATGTTAAGATATGTCGGTTCCTGCTTCAGTAAAGTACGAATTTTGATGTTTATTAGTACGAACTACTAGTAGAAAGAAGTAAAGCATCTACATATCGACATGTTTATCCTACACATGTGTATATGTGTATACATAAATTTAGAAGGGTTGGTTAAGCATAAACCTGTCCACCACATGTTCACTGGAATGATGATAATAATAATCTGCCTTAAAATCAGACAGATATCAAATGTTTCCCGCTGATAAATATGTGAATGAATACAAGATAAATAAAGTAAATAAAGAAAATGTTCCTATTCTTATTATTATTATTATAATCATGACGACTGTAATTTATCTGTAGAAGTGTGAGGACAAAACTTCACAACTTATCCACTAAATTAACATACATAATTTTTTTCATCAGTTACAGAACCATTGGAAAACGCCTGCAGGGAGTACTGGACAACAGTCTTGTCAGCCAAATTTGGGACTCTTCGTCAGTACTCACTCACTGCCAGGGTTCTATCCCAAGACCTTCTGGTTACAAAGCTATCTATCTCGTAGATCATTCAGACACTGGGACCCACCAGTCCAATGGTCAGCCCATGGATTCCAGCTTCTGTCAACTGAAGACAAAATGCGACCGATTTACAGTGTCTTCTTCGATGAGTTACTTATTCACCTTCAACTTGTTGTGTCCCACTGAGCACGTCTTCCTACTAGAACCCCAGTTAACTACCTGAATACGGCCAGTTGCTATTGAGCTTCAGGATAATTTTCAAGTATTGGTTTTATAGGGATTATCGTTTGATTGGTTAGAGGATTTCACCACGAGCTGACATCAGTCCTGAGTTCGAACCCCGGTGGGTGCGTACTGATGAAGAGCCCCAAACTAGGGAAAAACAGCTATCCAGCACTCTATTGCTGGTTTTCCAATGGTTCTCTAACTGAGGTCAGCTCATAATGAAATCCTCCAACTCGTCACACATAGTTTTTACTTATATATTCCACTGTTTGTTATTCACAAAAGATCTCAAAAATACTTGCTGAATGAACTAAGCAAACTGTGAAAAGTATACTCACATCTGGTCTGATCTTAGGAGTAGCCCATGTGTCGTTTGTAATCTCTCTCTCCCTCTCTCTAGTCGACAAGCAAATCTTGAAATGATTCTGAAATATTCGTGAATTAAAGATGTGTCACATATATGAATTAATCTAGATGAAGTGTGTATAAATTACTGTTCTCTGTTTATCTCTGGCATTCTTCAGTTATATGTGTAAGTTGAAAACATTGAGTTAAATGTCCATGCTAGCTCATTGTAGATAAACTCTTTAATTACCGATAGATAGTGTGATTAATCACGAATTGGTATCGCTTAGGCAACCGTTAAGAAACCAGGGAGTACAGGACAGGTGTTTCGTTCCAGTTATAGACTCATCGCCACTACGCACCCACCACCAGGGTTCGAACCCAAGACCTTCCAGTTCCGAGTCAAGCTCGTAGATCAGTGGGATAGGACTCAATGACTAGCACATGAATTCTAACTTTCACCAATTTATGATTTTAGCGCAGTCACCAACCAGTATCGTCGGCCAGTATTTATCCTTATTCCTAACATGGTGGACTCCGCTGGTCATGAGTCTTCACTGGAACTTCGGGCAACTTGACCATGTAGCCAGTCACTGGCAAACATCGGATTTATTTTCAAGAGTTTATTTGAAGGGATTTCACTCGTTTAAAGTGTGGTCACAGAATGATATCAGTAGAAGTTGGAATTCATGTGCTGGCCATTGAGGTGGGTCCCTACAGCTGACTTGTAACCACATGGTTTTCAGTTCAAAACCTAGTGGCTGTGTATTGGTAATGAGTCCCAAACTAGGACGAAATTAGCTGTGCAGTAGTGTCTAATTCTCATAGGTTCTCTAACTGATGTCAGGTCGTGATCAAACGTGAAACAATTTAAATCCCTATAGAAAGACTCTTCAAAAATGAAATATATTTGTCTAGTTCACATCACCACCTATCAGTGGGATCTCCAGAAACAGTAGAACAACTTAAAATAGCCAACAGCTGAATTCTAGAGTAGTCTATAGTTACTTGAAGTCTTATAACATCAACTGAGACTTCATTCTGTGCCACACATCGTCTAATCCTAATTAGCGCATAAGAAAAAACCTGAACTTTGTCTTCATTAAATATTTTAACCTGACTCCTTTGACTATCATAGACTGGGAATCAGTTTCCTCTTCCTGATTTTTTGTGTACAATAAATTCTACTAGTTTTTGATGATCTACTTTGAATTCTTTGTGCTTTTGTTTCCTATTAGTTATCCTCAATTGAGTGTTCATCACTTAATCACTGGTTGTATGCTTTCTTGATTACCTAAGATAATTCATTATTTCCCAAATATTCCTATTTCTTATAGACTTTGATTTAGATTTGTTGCTAACTGAGAATATTCTCTGACTCTTGTGGGATTAGTCCTCTAAAGGAAATCTTTTGCACTCACTATAAAGAATAAAATTCAGTTTTTCAACACAGATGTTAAGTTAGTCAATTCCTCTGTATGGTTCAGATACTTTGCGCAGCACGAAAAGCATTTGCAACAGACTACCGCAGACTTTTATCAAGAGCTGCCTTTCATATTGAAGACTAGATGGTCAGAAGGAATTAGCATTTTGGTTCACTGAGAACGGACTAGTCAAGAAACTATAGGCCAAAAAAAATATTCAGACGAAAATGGAGGCGGATTAGCTACACACTGAGGAGACCGCTAAGCGATATACTACGCCAGGGTGTCGCTCGAGTATAACCTCAATGAGAAACGATGAGTTGGACGTGGGTCCAATGGTGACATGGATGAGACCGTGTGAACAGGAGATGCTAGACTATAGGCAATCATGTAGCCAGCTAAAAAAGACCGCAGAGAATTGGAAACAATGAAGGTATGCTGTTGAAGCCCTATGTTTCACCTAGAACTCAAGGAAACAATAATAATATAGTAATAATTGTTGACAATTCAGTGAGTGACTTCAGTCGCCAGTTTATTAGTAGTCTCTGGTAATCAGTGAAAAGTTAGAATAAGTTCCGTAATCCACAAAATACTATCCGTAAACAAAATTTTACAGCAGTGAAATCCCGATATCTATATCTAAGACAGTACATAGCGTATAAATTCAAATTTTAGGCTCACAGATTACTTGTTGGTGTGAGTGGCCTCCAACTACTTACACC